TGTATGCCTCCACATACATCTCATCTCCTTCAACCACTGGATGTTGGTGTTTTTGGACCACTCAAACGTGCATATGGCAAATTGGTTGAGGGGGTGATGGTTGCTGGAAATAACCACATTGATAAGGAGGATTTTCTATACCTATAGGACTTCTTAAAGGTATGATCACATGAAATAACTATATAAATTAAATAATATTCTTTAAATTCTTTATAGTACTTATAAGATTAATATATACTTAAAAAAAAAGAAGCAGCTATTCCTTCATCCTAAAAGACACGGGTCTAATCTTCTACACTTAATTTCTTGTATATTTTCAGACTTCTTAAGTTACCACCATAATTATATTAAAACTGTATCTGTAGCACCTCTATATCCTTTAGACTCTATGCTTGTGATGACTCACTATTAATAGCCTGGCTCCTTTTCCATACTTCAAGTTTGCTCAAAATAAAAGTGATGAGATAATACTAATAAAGATCTTAATCTTAAAATGTGTCTGATTTAATCTTTTAGGGCATGTTTTTAATAATGTCATCTATCTCTGCCTATAAGAATTAGAAAAAGAGTCTGACTAGTCTCCCTTTATCTGATGCTGATGAGTCTGAATGGGCTAAAGATGATGATTAAATGGATATTAATTTATTGAGCTTAACATTTACTATCTGTGAGCCTCTGTCTAACTTAATCCACGGCCGAGTTGCGCACCTTCTCCGCCCCATCAAATATCATGACCATATTCTTCAATGTGGCTTTTCTCTATCTTCATCATATAAAAATGCCTCTTTCTAAGGAAAATCGAATACAAATGGCTATCTCGGCCATCAAGAATAAAAAAATCCAGTCAAACCAAGAGGCTGCATCTGTTTTTGGAGTGTCTGGGGATTTTCAATTCGACCACAATATCTGCGTGAAATGGCGCAGATCTTACTTCACAAACATATACAAGATTTTACTGCAACTATTGGAGTCAACCGGGCCTCCTCCTTCATAAGGCGCCGTCCTGAATTACAAACAAGATATAATTGGAGGATTACATATCAGCGTGCAAAGCAGGAAGATCCAAAAGTCTTAAATCAGTGGTTTGACTGTACATGCAGCTATTCAAGAACATGGGATCCATGAAGATGACATCTGGAATTTTGATGAAACTGGCTTCGCAATGGGACTCTTGTACAACATCCAAGGTAATTACTGCTGTAGAATGCAGTGAGAGACCTTGTACAGTTATCCAGGGCAATCATGAATGGGTTACTATCATTGAATGCATCAACTCAAAAGGGATTTCTATACCACCAGTGGTTATCTTAAAAGGGAAAGAACATCAAGTTCCTTGGTATCAGGAGCCTAATCTTCATCCAGCCTGGAAGCTTGC